AGAGCCCAGAAGTAAGATTGCTGGGTTGTAGGATAAATGTATGTTTAGTTTAAAAATAAAATCTTATTGAGATACAATTTACACGTCATAAGTCACCCATTTAAAGTGTACAATTCAGTGATTTTCAGTATATTCAGAGAGTTGTGCAATCTTTACCATAATCAACTTTACATTTCCATCAGCCCAGAAAGAAACCCCACACCCGTTAGCAGTCACCCCGTTTCCCCCACCCCGTCCCACAGCCAGCCCTCGGCAACCGCCCACCTACTTTCTCTGTACAGAAACTGCCTATGGAATCACAACGTGTGGTCTGGTCCATTGCACCTGGCTACTTTCACTTGCTAGTTTCAAGGTTCATGTATGTTGTAGCATGTACCGGTAACTTATTCCCTTTCATTGCCAAGTACTCTATTGTATGGATACACCGCATTTTGCTTATCCATTCATTCACTGATGAGACCTTTGTTGTTTCCATTTTTAGGTTATTATAAATAATACCACCACGAACATTACTGTGCATGTTCTTATGTTTCTGTTTTCGTTTCTCTTGGGTATATACCTAGAATTGGAGCTGCTGGGTCACAAGGCAACTCTATGTTTAACCATGTTGTTGTTTTTTTTAAAACAACAATTTTCCAGACTGACTGTATCCTTTTACAGTCCCATCAGCAACGTATGAGAGATTCAGTTCTCTGCGTCCTCACCGGCATTTGGTGTGGTCACTATTTTTGGTTTTAGCTGTTCTGATGGGTAATATCACTGCATATCGCCTTATGTGCTTATCTGCCATTCATAAATCCTCTTCAGTGAGATGCCTCTTCATGCCTGTTTTCTAATAGATGGCTTGCGTTTTTTACAGTTGAGGTTTACGAGTTCTGTATATGTTCTTACAGTATGAATTCTGTGCCACATATGTTGGCTGCAAATCACTTCTCCCAATCTGTTGCTTTTTATCCTAACATAGTTTTTCACAAAGCAAAACTTTTTTAATTTTGATATATGCTATAGATCACACTTCCCTCAAAAAAATCTTAATCAATCCCTAGGGCTCCCAAATTTTCTATTTTCTTCTTTAAGAAGAATGTTGTGGGGGTTTTGTTTGTTTTGTTTTGTTTTGTTGAGACAGGGTCTCACTCTGTTGCCTCCGTTAGAGTGTAGCGCAGTGACGTCATCACAGCTCACTGCAACCTCAAGCTCCTGGGCTCGAGTGATCCTCCTGCCTCAGTGTCCTCAGCAGCTGGGACTACAGGTGCACACCACCACACTCAGCTGATTTTTTTTCTATATTTTGTGGAGACAGGATCTTGCTTGCTCAGGCTGGTCTCAAACTCCTGGCCTCAAACAATCTTCCTGCCTCGGCCTCCCAGAGTGCTAGGATTGCAGGCGTGAGCCACCGCTGCTTTCCCAGTCGCTTCTCTCTGCGGTTCAGATTGGGCAACTCCTACTGCTGTCTTCCTTCTCTACTCTGTCCTGTCCTCCCGTACTGCTGCTCAGCCATCCACTGAGTCTTGTGTTTCAAATATTATACTTTTCACTTCTAAAATTTCCATTTGTTTCCTCTTTATGTCCAGTATTTTCTTCCTGAGACTGCCTATTTTTTTGTTTCAAGTGTTAGTAAGTGCTTATTCAAGCATTTTTACGATGGCTGCTTCAAACTCCTGGTCAGTAATTCTAAAACCTGCGTCATCTCTATGTTGGTATCAGCTGTGTTTTCTCATTCAGGTTGAGATTTTCCTGGCTCTTCATATGACAAGGGATTTCAACTGAAACCTCAACATTTTGGGTATCATGGCCTCAGGCACAGGATCTGACTCAAGTCTTCTGTCACGGCAGACCTCTGCTGACACTGCTTCAGCAGGCAAAGCGGGCGCTGCCTGGTTCCTGCCAGGTGGATCTGGAAGCTAAGGTTCCTCTCCGGCCTCCGCTGATCCCCGCATGAGGAGGAACCCTCATGACTTCTGGATCAGGTGAGCACTCGGCAACCCCCACGCCTCTGCTCGCACCACCCGGCTGAGGCAGGAATGCTTGTTACTGCTCCCAGCACCACAGAGGGGTGGCCTTGTCACCACAGGGTAGTGGTAAAGTCCCTGAACCTCTGCCAGGTCTCCTCCGATGCCACCCAGCAGGAGGGGACAGTGTGCTCTGTCACCACCCAGCCTTCTCTGATACCAGCCCTGCAGAGAGGAACATCTAGGTGTCAAGGAGGAAATCTAGATCCCCCATCTGGCCCAGGGAGGGGTGGAGGCTGCAGTGTTTCTGTGATATCTGGCTGGAGTAGAGCGCTTATTTATCTAAGTTTTCTGCCTGGCGGGCTGGCTGCCCCTTTCCTGATCTTTCAGCTAGAGAGGCAGGTTTTCCTTGGGGCTTTGTCTGTCTGGGCCCCTTTGTGCTCCTGGGTCGACAGCTTCTTGAGCGCCAATGTGGGATGTACGAGGCAGAAAGTAAACACAGGGAGCTCAGCTGTGCCGTTTCCCAGGTCACCTAGCCAGTCTACTTTCAAGTCATGTATTTGTCTTAAATGTAATGTCCAGTTGGACTTAACAGTAGGAAAAAGTAAAAAGGTATCTACTCCATCTTTCCATAAATACAAAGCCAAGGATTATCTTGTTTCTGAAATTATGTATGTGTAGGCATATTTTATTTAAAAAAAAAAAAGAAAAGAAACGAAACAAGAAAGTATGTCTTGCTTTACAATGCTAAAAACATTCAATTACCTTGTAGTTTATAACGTGTGTTTTGTACAGGAAAGAAAACATCAAAAGCCTGTGAACGCTGTTCTGATACGGCCTCACAGGAAAAAGGAGACTTTGTTTTCACACATTTAAATAAAGCAATAAAAACAGTAGAGGGCTTCCCTCCCCTCCCTGAGAACTTCATCAGTAGAACCTTCTGGTAAATGTGAGCCGGATGCTCAGTGCACTCCAGGGATTCTACCAGCTGGTGACAAACAGTGCAAAACCTGCAGCACCAACTTGCCTTTCGCCTCACAGTCCCAGGTTTCGGATCACTTTTATCTCAAGTATGACACCAGGGGCTTTTCTAGCCCTGCATCTTCTCTAGGAAATAAGCTGTCCTCTTCACAACCAGCCTGAAAACTCCTCACATTCTGCCTTTCGCTGCCCTTGCCTTACTCCCGTCAGGCACGCGACGTTCTTCATAGTTTATTTTTGCTCGTCACTTCACGATACAGTCAACACACTGCAATCTTTCTCCATTGACCTATTTCCAACCAAGTACATGCCTTTCAAACAATTACTTCCCCCACATCTGGCACCAAATGGAGATTTTTCATACTGGAGTAATTTCCTCTTTTACTAACTCTCTGAACTCTGTGAAGTCGTAGCTCAAAGACGGGTTCATAATGTCAACGCCACACACTATGTTATTACAACTAACAGATCGTCTGGCTAACCCAAGTTCTGCCTCTTCCTATTTCCTCAGCTACAGTTCACCCACCAGTATTTTTCCAATATTAGTTCTATAGCTTCCACTTTTCTAACCTCTTATAAATTTTTTGCTGTTGTTGTTAACCTTTCTCTTTGTCACAATTTTTTCCTGCAGTTTTTTTCAACTTTTGCTCTTGTCTCTGTGTTCACATCCTCCTCCTTCTTCCCAGCAGTCTGCACTAGTCCTAGCACCACCTCCTTCCTTCCACCCCAGGTCCTCTACGGAGACCAAGCTCTTGGCATAATGTCTTAAGGCTACAGGCACCAGTGTCTGCATCTCAGGCCATATGTCAGCACAGGCTGAATATCTGAAACACACGGGAGCAGAAATATTTTAGATTTAGGATTTTTTCAGATTTGGGAATATTTGCATATGCATCGTGAGGCATCTTGGGATATCGACGCACAACTCACTTATGTTCCACGTACACCTTAAGCACACAGCCTGAAGGTGATTTTATTTTTCCCTTGGGGAGGCTGAGGGAACTGTGTGCTGTGTGCCTGCGTTGATACGACCCGTCACACAAAGTCAGAGTGGAATTTTCCACTTGTGCTGGCTAGTCAGTGTCCAAAACATTTCAGACTTTGGAGCATTTCAGATTTAGAATTTTCGGATTAGGGATGCTAAGCTTGTATTAACATAAATCTTATTTAAATGTTTGATCTAATAACCAGTTTAGGGTTTTTTCAGGTTGGTATCATGGGAAGAGGGGCAAGGAAGTTGCGGTTGTTTGTAAAAGGAATGCTGAAATGATGTACGAGGGAATCTGAGCTAGGCAAGGAGATAAGAGTGCAGGTATTTGGAAAAGGAATGTTGAAATGATGTACCAGGGCCTCTGAGCTAGGCGAGGAGGGAAGTGAAATCAGAAAGAATTAATGCAGAGACACTGGAGGAACGTCAGTGGACTGGCAGGCCTACCTGAGAAGAACTACCACAAAGGATGGCTACGAGGCGTAAATGGATCGATAAATAAAAAGAGTCACTAATCTTCACAACATCCTAGTGAGGCAGAGTTTCCAAATCCAATTTGTCTGTTAATACACTCATGCGTTGTTAACGGTGGAGATGGAGACAAGTTATGAGAAATACACCCTTAGGCGATGTCCTCCTTGTGCAAACATCACGGAGTGCACTTACCGCAACCCAGGCGGGACAGTCTACCATACTCCTAGGCTGTGTGGTACGGCCCATTGCTCCTGGGCTACAAACTGATACAGCAGGTCATTATTCTAATACTGCAGGCAATTGCAACCAAATGGTAACCGTTTGTGTATCTAAACATACTCAAACATAGAAAAGGTGCAATAAAAATATGTGAAAAGATGTCGTAATCTGATGGAACTACTATCAAACATGCCATCCACTGATGAACAAAATGTCATGTGGCCCACGACTGTATTTAATAGATTAAACACCCTAGTGAATTGAACATAGAATTGTAACAAGAAAGAAAACTTCTTCACTCTAAAAATAAGCTACTTTAACCACTGTGTACTGTTTCATCTAAATACAAACTAAAACAGAAACCTGGAATCCCAAAAGACAATTATTTTCCTTCAAAATATTCACATTTACCCCATATTATTGGACAAGTCACCACATTAAACAGAAAGCTTATGTCAGTAAAATGTCCTCCTGATTTTTTACAAACATTATTTTCAAGAAACTAATAAATAGCCCTCTCTAAAAGTCCAATCTCCCTATCCTGTCATTCAACTAAATGTATTCAATATAAACTCTCCTCTGAACTCTTAACTGACTTATGGTCTGCCCAACTCTTTCGTCCCTATTATCTGCTGCCCCATACATACTGTACCCTCTGCTATCTGTGATCAAGACAGACACACATACACGCAGCTTCAATACGGCACAATGCTCTGCACACAGCAGGCACTGGCCAAATACTTCACAAATTAATGAAACCCACAAACACACTTTGTGTTAGGCAAGCTGAATTCTCCACCTTTAGAAATACTGTAATATTAAATATCATCAATGAACACTTAAATTTCTGCCTTTTTCAAAAGGCTGTTTTTAATATTACCAATATTAAATTGTAACTGTATAACCTATAACATTCTTCTAAGTGCATATAATTTGAGAAAGACATAACCAAAGTCATTTTAAAAAGCAATACAACAAATGACCAATTTATGCTTTCATTTGAAACAAAAATATAAAACATTACTTTCAGTTTCATATCCAGTGGAATTTCAAACATTTTTCTTTCAGCAAAAGACATTTGCTTAAATGATTAATTTCATGAATGTTAGTCACATGCAAAAGAATGGTTAAAGGACAGTATATGCATGGGGCATTCAAAAATATAAAAGATGACTGAATTTCCACAGAAAGTTTAATAAAGTTTTCAGTAACACCGTACTACAATAGCACTAGCAGGTGAATTCCTAGTAGGCTGAAACACCAAACTCAATTCTAACCACTATCAAAGGAGAGCACAGTCTCTAGAGGCAACTAAGAAATGTCACCATCACTGACCTGCTTAAAATATTTTGTCATTGATGAGATGAAGGCATGGAGTACATGCATGCTTACCAATTCTGTAGATGACATTTAACTGGGACACATCACGAATCGGATAAATAATAACCAAGATTTTTTTAAAGATCTCAATCATTAAAGAGTGAGCTCAAACCAAGGACAGAATTCAATAAATACAAAGTCCTTTCCTCAAAAAAAATCAAGGCAGAATAATTAAGAAAACTCTTAGTATCACCTCAGGGAAAAGGACTTTAGGAGTTTAGCTCTGGGCAACCACAAAGGAAGCGAACAGTCTGACACAGCTACCAAAAAAGAAGCACCAAAAGAAGTCGAGCGAAGAGGAAGGAAACACACTTACTGAAGATCTCTTGCGTCTAGGACTTTGTAAGAATGTCTGGCACATATTACATAACATAACCTTTCCAACAGCAAAATGAGGCTGATACAAACACCGTATCACAGGACAGGAAGTGGAGATTTGGGAAGTTCCTTGCCCAGGGTCACCCTGTTGTGAGATGTGGCCCGTGTCCACTACCCCAGTCTCCCTGTGGGCAGTATTAATAGGGTGTCCGAAACCAGGGGATAGCAGCACCACTCTATTTATTCCACGTTGGTACTGTGTTCAAGTCTGGGGGCCGCATTTCCGAAGGGTTTTGGAAAGACTCAAATTTGATCAGGAAAGTAACTAAAACAGCGACGGGACGGAGGGGAGCGTTCCTCAGCAGAGAAAATATCCTGGAGGTCCATGACTATCCTGAGCTATGTTATTTATTTGGAGGTAACTAATCTCTAAATACTTTTAAGGCCATAACTCACAGGCCGACAAACTGAATTTAAGAAAGAACCACTTGAACTTAAATAAATGAAACTTCCAAGCAATGAGCACCCTTCCATAATAGTATCAATTTCGGGGGACCTGGCCGAGCATAAAGAATGTTGTAGAAGTTTAAACTGGATGACAAAAACCTATAAAAACCCGGCAGACCATAAGATATCTGTGCTCACGGAGTGGCAAATGTATTTATGCAACTTTGTTTAGTGAACGTTCATGGTTGCGCTGCTGCTGCGTTATTCTAGTGAATGGCCGTCTTAAAATTAACGTTTCCCCCCAGCGGCGGCGCTTCACAGGCGGAAGTCTTCAGAAGCGGAACAAAAGCATGGCGCTGTGTAATCTCTTCAGCATCGGCTCCCTCCGCACGCACAGCCCCGCTCATACCCTCCTAGCCGCCTCCCGGCCGAGGCCCCTCTTTGGATAGAGCCGAGGCCACCCTCCTCCACTGAAAGCCTCCGAAGAGCTTCCCCGGAGGAATAGGCAGCCCGGGCCGAGGCCCGGGGGTAAGAGAGAGCTAACGGAGCATCGGGGCCCAGGGCCTAGCCCTCCCGTGCCCCGACCCCTCCAGCACCCCGCCCTTTCTGTGCCCCAGCCCCTCCAGGACCCCGACCGCTCCTGGGCCCCGACCCCTCCCCCGTCCCATTCCCTCCAGCACCCCACCCCTTCCGGTGCCCCATCCCCTCCTGGACCCCGACCCCTCCTCCGTCCCATTCCCTCCAGCACCCAGTCACTTCCTGGGCCCCGACCCGTCCTCCGCCCCGTCCGTTCCTGTGCCCCATCGCCTCCAGCAACCTATCCCTCCTCCCCCCCGACCCCGCCAGCACCCAGTCCCTTCCTGGGCCCCATGTCCTCCGGCAACCGACCCCTCCTCCGCCCCGTCCCCGCCAGCACCAGACCCTCCTCGGGGCGTCCCGGGAAGGACTCGGCGCCCGACAGCGGGGAAGATGGTGGCACTCACCTGTCACAGCCGCCGCGCCCGCCACCGCCCGGAGCCAGCCCGGGTCGCGCACAGCCCGTCGGTCCCCACGACGCGGCGCCCAGGACTTCCCGGCCGAAGCGTAGGACACCGGTTATCTCCGCAGTGACGCGACCCCCCGACCCCGGCTTGGCGCGCCGCCCTTCCGGCGCCGCCGGAAGTCCCGGCCCTGACCCCGGCCACGCCCCCCGAGGTACCGGAAGTCCCGCCCCGGCTTCCGCTAAACTGGCTGCCAGGGTCGGCGCTGATGGCGGCGCCTACGACCCCACCTTGGCCGCGCCTTCCGGGACGCGGCGGCTCCTCTGGGGTGAAGAGCAGGTCGACGGTCCGAGTCGCTGTGTGGCAGGCCCGGGCCCACTCATTCGGCGGGTCCAGCGGGAGGGCTTCGCGTCCGTCCGCCGGGGCGACGGTCCCCGGGACCAGCCGTCCACACCCGCCCCGCCCGGAGGACTCCACACGACCCGTCCACACCCGCTCCCTCGATCCCCTCCGCGGGGCGACTCTCCCGGGCCCGCAGCCTTGGCTCGCCAGGGGCCTGCAGGAAACGCCAGCCTCGGTGGGCCTCGAGCGGCCTTCCTCCCTTTGACCCAGGTGGGAGTGCGTGCTCCGCCGGAGCCGGCACCCAGCCTGCTCCCGGCCTCGCCCACGGCGCTCACTGCGCCTGTGGCAAGTCAGCAGCGTAAAAGCGTTTTTCTATATAGGTTATATAGGTCGACATTCTTGCTCCTTCCTTTAAAAATAAATCTCAAGATTAAAATTCAGGAAGCAGAAATATGTCTGTTATACAAGAAACAAATTTGGCGTTATATTTGAGGATCCAAATATCAAAAAAAAGTAGAAAACATTGAAGTTATTTTTTCATTAAACATAATAATAAACGCTTATCACTGTGTCAACAGAAAGGAAGCCAAAAACTGTAAAGTAATTTGAAGAGGTTTATTCTGAGCCAAATTTGAGGACCATGGCCCGGAGCCACGCCCAGGCCATGACGCAGTGACGCGACCCCCCTTGAGCAGGTGGACTTGCTGTGGTTCCGTCACAGTTTCGTTTTATACGTTTCAGGCAGACAGGAATTACAGGTAAAGTCACAAGTCAATACATGGAAGGCATACATTGGTTTGGCGGGAAAAGGTGGAACATCATGGGGCCTTACAGGTTATAGGTGGGTTTAAAGACTCTTTGACTTGTAACTAAAGAAATGAAGCTTTGTCTAAAGGCTTGGAATGTTTTAAGTGAAGGGAATTTTTTAAATCAAAGACAAGCTACTGGCCGTGTATTTGTTGTGTAAATTAAGAACGTGCAGGTTTGTCTTGTCTGTGTAGCTTGAGCAGCCTTGTTGACTTGTGATCCAGTGTAGTCTTGAAAGAGCACTGGCCTGTCTGTGTTGACCAGTCTTGGCTGTTTAATCACAACCATCCTCATCATTTCGTCCAGTTCGTTGCGGCAGACATCCCCTGGAATCAACTGACCAGGTTTCATGAAGCTGTAGTGCATAATGCCAGCGCTGGACCACCAAACAGACACCATTGTCTTTTTTTGATGAATATTCAGTTTTGGAGTGTGTTTCTGCACTTCATCTTTATCCAGTCATTGTGTTGAATGCTTGTGATTGTAAAAAAGAATCTATTTTTTTCTGGTTAGTAATGCCCAAAGAAAAAAAGAAAAAAATCTATTTTTTATCACACATTAACAATATGGTGTAGAAATGGTTCGCCTTTATGTCGTGAGGGCAAAGAAAGGCAAGCTTCCAGACGATTTTTCTTTTGGTGTTTAATCTATGTAGTACCCAGCCATCCAGCCTCTTTACCTTGTCGATTTGTTTTAAATGGTCTAATTGTTGGAATAGTAACGTCAAACCTTGTTAATTTATGCATGGGTTGAAATGAATTCACTTCCACTACAGTGTTTAGTTATCATTATCCACCTTGGTCTCAGGCAGGGGTCACCCGGGGTCCCCGGCGCCCCCCGTCCAGGCTCGGGCAGGGGTCACCGGGGTCCGCGGGCGGACACCTGCCGCGCTGTCAGTCCCGCCTGCGGACAGGAGCGCGCAGGGACGCGCCACCAAGCTGCTCCGCTCTAAAGCGCAGCGACCCAGGCGCGCGCTCCCAGGGGCAGGGTGCAGTGCGCAGGCGCGTCCGGCGAGGGGCCGCCCAGCTCGCGAGCGCGCGCTTCCGGTCGCTCGGCGACACCGCACAGCTTCCGCAGCGCGTCGGGCGGTCTCCGGCGCCTGACGATCGCAGCCGCTGACACCTCCTCGGCCTGCCGGGAGCGCCCAAGCCTCAGCACCTGGGCGGCGAGGACCGCGCTCGCGGCGCAGGGCGCCGAGGCTGCGGCGCCGCTGGGGGCGGGGCGGCGAGGTGGCGCCACCACGCGACGGCGTGGCGCGAGCGTGACGTCAGGTGCACGGACGCCGATTGGCCGCGGCATGTGGCGCGGGAGGGCGCTGGCGCAGGCCATTGGGCGCGCGGCCTGGGGGCGGGGCCAGGGATCGGTCGGCGCAGAGACGAGTAGCGCGCCGGGTCTGGCCGGCGTCTGGGCCCAGAGGCCGCTCAGGTAAGCGGTCGGGGGGCAGAGAAGGGACGGGGGACACGCGAGTATCAGATGGGGGGACACGAGCTATGAGACGGGGAATACGGGGGACGAGGTGGGGGGCCGGGGGATGAGATGGGGAGTCAGGAGACGAGATAGGGGGCAGGGGACACGGGGACGGATGGGACTGGCGACGAGATGGTGGGACCCGGGGGCCGAGACGGGCCAGGGCGCGGGGTCCCGGCCCTGCAGCTGGCCGTGTCCGGCTGGCTGGAGGGTCCGGGGGGCAGGGGTCGCCTGGGCACCGTCCGGGAGGGTCGGGAGGGGTCTTGCCGCGGGCGTCAGACGGGACGTGCAGGTGCTCGCGTCCCTGCCGGACAGATTTTTCGGGTGAGTCTGTAGGAACTAGCAACCCAGTTCTGTTCAGCTTCAGGCATTTTAGACTTTGGCATTCTTTTGTCAGTGAAAAAAACAGGACCCTCGTCAGGCGCGCTTTAGTAAAATATCGAATCTGAAATCAGTCTCAGGAGACTTTATAAAGGTATGATCCTCCGTTTTGTAGAAATTCAAAAATAAAAAACAAGCTTAGTACTCATTTTATTTTACGATTATGAAGTTTAGTCCCAAGGTCTAAATTATGAAAACCGTGAAAGAGCAGTGTGATTTAGAACATTGTCGTTTCGAAAAGTCTAATAATTCTGTAGTAATGAAATCTACTTTAATGATGATTTAAGACAGGCGGCCCTCCATATTTGTGGGTTCCACATCTTTGGGTGCAACCAACTTTAGATCGGGAATTTTTTTTTTAAATTGCATTTGTACTGAGCATGTGCAGAGTTTTTTCGTGTCGTTATTTCAATGTAACAGCTATTTACATAACATTTACATTGCATTAGGTATTATAAGAGATCATCTAGACATCATTTAAAGCAGGCGTCCCCAACCGATGGGAGTTGTATAATTATTTCATTATATATCACGATGTAATAATAGAAATAAAGTGCACAGTAAATGTAATGCACCAGAATCATCCCAAAACCATCCCCCCTCCCCGATCCATGGAAAACCTGTCTTCCATGAAAACGGTCCCTGATGCCAAAAAGGTTGGGGACCTCTGATTTAAAGTACAGTCATGTGTTGCTTAAAGGACAGGTGAGTTCTGAGAAATGCCTCCTGGGTCATTGTGTATCGTGTGAACATCATGGAGAGCACTTAGGCATGCTAGATGGTCCAGCCTGCCACACACCTAGGCTGCAAACCTGTACAGCTTGTGGCTGTGCTGGGTGCTGCAGGTAGTTGTAGCACAGTGATAAGTATTTGTGTGTCTAAACATAGGACAGGTAATGCCTTGTGCTACGATGTCATAATGGCTACAGTGTCACTAGGCAATAGGAATTTTTCAGCTCCGTTATAATCTTACGGGACCACAGTCATATGGTTGTCGGCCTGAACTTCATTATGCGATGCATGACTGTATACAGTAGGGCGTGCATCGGTAACATGCAAATACTATGCCATTTTATATCCAGAACCTGAGCGTCCTCTGATTTTGGTGCCTGTGAGAGGCCCTGGAACCAATCCCCACGGACACTGAAGGATGATCATGAAACTAGTGTACAAAAATTGCAAATCTTTTTAAAATTGAGGCTATCTTTAAAGTAGACTTTTCCTTTTCACAGTATTTTTCTTTCTGATTTCTTATTTTAATCATTAAGCTCATTTTCAGTTTTTTGGTATTATATATCATTGTTTTGGCTCTCACAGTCATCACTGACTCCTGACACTCCACACACACGCACTCACAGCCCACCCCAGACCCTATGTAGGTCTGGGACTTTGTATTAAGTAGCTGTTTAAACACTTTGTTTACATTCTGTAGTATGGTGAACTCCATTGAAAGGATTTCAGTAAATCTGTATATTTGAAAGAAAGTCACATACAAAGTAAGCCACATAGAATCTTCAAAATATATTGCGTGGAAAAATCAAGAAACATTGAGGATGTCCTCTGTATAAGGTGCTCTGCAAGATACAAACGTTAGAGAGCTGAGAAACTGCTGAATATATAGATGTGCAAAAAGTGTGAGTCAGGACATAGAAAGTGCTTTAAATTTAAATCCAATGGGAAGGATTAACTGGGGTTCAGAAAATTAAGGCTCAGTGCACTAAGGTAGGGATGGGCCAAATCTGGCCTCCTGCCTGTTTCTGTTATGGCCTGTGAGCTAAGAATGTTTTTTTCATTTTTAAATGGTTGGAGAAAAAAAAATCAAAAGCAGAAAATATTTTGTGACGTGTGAAAATTAAATGAAATTCACATTTTGGCGTCCATAAATATTTATTGGAATACAGCCACCCCCAGTGTACACATTGCCCAGCTTTGAATTGCCTAGTTCACCCATTGCCTGTGGCTGTCTGAGTGTTACAAAAGCAGAGGTGATACTATCTGGCCCAGTTCTCTCCTGTGTACGTAGAATGGTGTTAGCTATGCGCTGCCTTGGGAGAATTGACGAAACAGTCACACGGTCGTTTTTCTGATTAGGAGCCTGGATTGAGAAAAACTGGAATAAATGTTACTGGGACATTGGCAAAAGGGATACTGACTGTTGGGCAGATGCATTGCACCTTGAAAAATGAATTCCAGCCAAGGTTGGCCTGTGGCACTCTTGAGCCTCTGTGCAGAGGCAGGCAGTGGCAAAGCATTGGGCACGGCTGTGGGAACACATCAGCCGGAAGAGAGACACTGTCCTGGGAAAACAGGACGGAAAGTTAGGTTGGGGCCAAACCACAGCTGGACAGATTCCTGAGGAAGAAGAAGGTACAGGGGAGGGAGGATTGACTGTCAGGGCTGCAGAGGGTGTGAGAGGGCAAGAATTTAGAGGGGAACTTTGAGCTTAGCATTGAGCAGAGTGACTCTGATGAACGGCCTGTGCAGTGGACTCCCCAGGAGAGGGTGCGGAGGGGGGAGACTGCAGGTGGAGCCATGCGTAGTTCCTGACCTCCGAAAGGAAGGGCCACATTGCTTTACCGGGCTCAGAGAGCTGGAATCACTTCCCGCTATGTTGAAATGACATTCAGAGAAACGTGAGATGACGAATGGCCTTTGTCTTTCTGTTTAAACTTAGCATTCTAGGTCACATCCGACACTTTGTAACAATGCCTGAGATAAATACCAACCACCTTGATAAGCAGCAAGTCCAACTCTTGGCGGAGATGTGTATCCTTATTGATGAAAATGACAATAAAATTGGAGCTGAGACCAAGAAGAATTGTCACCTGAATGAAAACATTGAGAAAGGTACTGTTTTCTTTGTCGAAAAGTGACCTGCCCGGGCATTTCAGACTAGCTGAGAAAATCACTCTGGCAGAGGACACGCGGTTGTGAGTGATGATTCGGGTTTCCCAAGAGAAGGAATAGACGAATCCCAGCACAGCCACCGCTGAGCGCTAGTCCGTCCTTTCTGGTATTGGAGAGAGAGGCGGCATCGTAAGCACCGTTTTCCCAGGTGTGCAGGACTGATGCGGTCTGGGCTGAATGTTCCCGGGAGGAAGCTTGGCCGGCAGCAGCATGGCCGACAAGGTCACCTCGTCCTCCGCTCTGCGGCCACCTTCCTCGCCGAGGGGACAGCGCTCTTCCCCAGCCACGAGCAGAGTGTCCCCATAGCAGACTGAAAAGGCAAAACCAGCAGCAAGTTACTGGTGTTTTGCTGAACCACCGGGGAGCATCGGGCAGGTAACTGGCATTTTAAGACTTAGTGATATTTTTTTTGCTTTCAGGATTATTGCATCGGGCT